TGTATGTATGTCTGTATGTATGTACGCATACACATGCGCGAGCTTACAAAGCGCCAAACAGCTACACCTGGACAGAGCCCGTAGCCCCCAACCCCCGAATGCTGAACCTGATTCTTCAGAGTTTAGGGTTTAGGAATTTTTTTAGGCCTCATTCTATGGGTAGTTTTCTAAATCAGGGTCCTTTTCTAGATCCTCAAAATAGTACGGCACCCTTATAAGAAGGACCCTAACAGGGACCCACGTTTAGAGAACTACCCCTATATGGATCCTACTATTTTTTGGGGGTGGTAGGAGCAGGATGCCGGTTTCTACATCAAAGACTCCTAAACCCTAAAATTCTAAACCCTAAACCCTAAACCCCTATCATTCTAAACCCCACACCCCTATAATTCGAAACCCTAAACCCTAAACCCTATCATTCTAAACCCCACGCCCTATCACTCTGAACCCTAAAGAGGTACGGCCTCAAAGTGGTCGGAGTGCGAGCAATCGTCCCGGAAGCATCCGCTGCTGATGCCCAGTGCTTCGAGATTCCTCGGAGTTCTTCAGTTCTTCTTATTCATACTCCAAGTCTAAGCGCTTTACGGTGTAATTAGGGTTTCAAGTGCTTTAGGGTTTAAACCCCAAACGACCACTGTGATTCCTACACTTCCTAAACCCTAAACCCACACATTAAACTGAACCTGGCAAAGGCTCACGAAGAGCCCCGAGCCGTCTAAAGACCTGGTAGAGACACCGACTTCGATGCACGCGGGCCACTCCGCCTGCAGCACAGAGAAAAAGGGTGTGAGGGTTGAACGCTTGGGGCTTACAATTAAGGGCTTACTAATTAGGATTTAGGGTGTGAGGGTTTAGGGTTTAGGCCTTCTAATTAAGGTCGTGGGCTCTCAGGGGTTGTGTCAGAGGTGTGTTCCTTCTACGGCTTATGTAAATCCAGTGCCTAAACCCAAAACCCAACCGCCGTCAGCCTAAACCCTAAACCCTAAACCCTCAACCCGGGCCCAAGGTCCCATCTTGCAAGTAGAAGACAGCCAAGCTGCATGCACGGTGTCCCCGATGGACGATGCCTGACGGCGCAACAAAGGGATCTACATAAGGGTTTTGGTTTTTTTTGAACACCAATTTTCCGATTGCCTGCGACGTCTTAGCAACCCCCTGGGGGAAGGTGGCCGGAAACGGGGCAGTTACCCCATTCCGGGCTCCGAGCGAAACTACTCAGCAACTTGTTTTAGGGTTCAGGGTTTAGGATTTACAGGGTCTAGGGATGCTCAGGGTTTAAGATTCTGAAGGACATACATCAACAGTAACTCAGCCCTTACGTTCTCAGAGATTGATAGCCTAAACCCAAATGCACCCCAAACCCCAAACCCTGGATAGGGTTTAGGGGGTGAGAGTTTAAGGTTTGTAGGGTTTGGGGTTTAAGGCTTAGGGGTTTAGGGTTTTGGAGGTTTAGGGTTTACACCACGACCAACAGGCTGCAGATGGCTTCTGGCTGTTGCCGGCCATTCAAGGATCGCTTCTAGGGATGCTGCTTTCCCCTGCAGCCCTAAACCCTAAGATGATAGCTCCTACAGCTTTCCGCAAAAATAGTCATATGAAGCCCTTTATGGCGCTTGCGGAGTCCTAACTTAAAGTGTGCCTCATGGAGCTGTTTCCTTGCCCGCAGGGCGCCTGAATGCGGGTACTATATTAGGGTCCCCTATTTTCAGAGACCACCCATGGGTTTAGGGTTTAGGGTTCCGAGGACTACGACTCAAAAACGCAAGAATAATGCCACGTACATTCAAATCCGCTACAACTATGTGCAGGTTCGTGCCTGCCATACTCGACTGCAGTCTGTCGGGTCTTGTGTATCACAAGAATCACCCTTACAGCCCCTACTCTCCCTACCCATAGGCCCTAAACCAAATCCTTGGTGTTTCATATTTAGAATCCTATAGGGTAATCCCAACAAGGAACTAGTATGGGCCTATGGGTAGCCCTGAAACAATTCCCGAGAAGCCACCTCTAAACCCCCGAAGCAACCAGCGCCTGGACGTGGTCCTGCCCAAGAGTATCGAGCCGGGCATCCGCCTCGCTGGCGTTGACATCCGGCCGGGTTCCCTGGCACCTGGAGTTTTGCTCGGTTTAGGGTTTAGGGTTTGAGGTCTGGGTTTCAAGGATAAAGGAATATTAAGGCCCCTAGATTATGATATCTTATGCCCTACACAGACTTACGATGGAGGCATCTAGCCCGTGCCACTTACCGGACCCCTTTTCCACTTCTCCTGCCGACATGCCCACACAACACAAAAGCAAAACAAAAGCCGTCTCTCTATGCTCCCCTGGCGCGGCTCACCGACGGCGAAGTCTGACCGCAGCAAGTTAAAGTACTGGACTTTGGGCTCACTTCCGTCCAGCATCTGCACTTCCCAGACAGTGTCCTGCCGGGGAGTTCGGGCCATGAGATTCGGATTGTTGGGCTTGAGGATATACGGGCTAGAGGAATAACTCCCTGCCCCCGTAGTTCCGGGGATGGCAACCGCCGTTGCTTGCATGTATAAGGAGCGTACAAATCCAGCCCCTTTTGATAACAACTTCTCTCCCTTCTCTTAAACAGGCATCCTAAGAGCTGTGTGCAGTACAATGACCACGCCACAAACATGAGTAGACCCCTAAAAACCAAAACCCCTGCACCCCAACCGCAAACCCTCGCAAAATAACAAGCACTAACAAACCTCAGCGCGAGAGCCCCAGCGCTAACTCGAACCCCTAACCAGCCTACACCCCAAAGCAAAAACATCCTATAAACCAACACAAAACAGCAACACAACATGCCTAAACCCTCTAAGCACAAACAGATGAGCACATCAAACCCAAGAGCAATCAACAAAAACGGAACACTTCCGCTCGTCCTGGGTCCCAGGCTCGCCGCTGACCCGCAGCTGAGCCAGCAGTAGAACTTCTCGGCCACTGGGATCCTCCGGTTTAGGGTTTAGGGTTTAGGGTTTAGGGTTTAGGGTTTAGGGTTTAGGGTTTAGGGGTTTAGGGTTTAGGGTTTAGGGTTTAGGGTTTCTTAAAGGGTTTATCAACTTGTAAACGATGTGGACGGGCTTTATCGGGTCTGTCTGAGGATGTATAAGGGCTTGATAGCAGCATTTACGACGGATTTAATAAGAGTTTTTATGAAGACCGCCATCCGCTACTATTCCCAGGTTCCCCAGTATCTCTTTGAAAACACGGGTACCCCTTACCCCACAGTACAGTAACATTTTCCCTTTCATCAGGAGTCACCCTTCACAAAACCCTAAACCCTAAACCCTAAAAAAGTAAAGGCCAAGAGTCCTCGCCGCCGCGCTGGCGGAGTCTTAGACGACTCTTCGGCGTCAGCCGCCGAATCTCGGCCTCACCGAAACCCTAAACCCCTAATCCCCAAAACCCCTAATCCCTAAACCCNNCCTAATCCCTAAACCCCTAATCCCTAAACCCTAAACCCTAAACCCCTAGACCCTAAACCCTAAACCCTAAACCCCTAAACCCCTAAACCCCGAAACCCCTAAACCCCTTAACCCCTAAATCTCGGCCTCACCGAGCTCACGCCAGCCGGCAGAACACTCGGCCAGGTGCTCCTGGCAGAAGAGCCATGGTTCGGGGCTTTGGGCTTACCCATAGGCCATAAAGTAGTTCCTTTTTGGGGGGTTCATCTTTAAAAATCCTATAAGGTAATCCCAAAAAGGAACTAGTATGGGCCTATGGGTAGAGCTCCGAGGTTAAGCTTTTGGGTAATATAGGGGCCTTAATCATTAGAATAGGGTTTGGGGGTATGTTATACTATAAGAGGAACCCCCCAAAACCCTATTCTAATTATTGAGGCCCCTACACTATAGGTCTAGGTTTAAAAGAAGGTTTAGACTGCAGGTGACGGTTTCGAAATGGAGTGCGTCAGGGGCAAAGTGAAATTCATACGACTACATGGACCCTTTGGTGCGCAACACTTGAAGCAAGAGGTTATTGGATCCACCCTGCCACCGGGAGAGACCCAAAACCCCAAACCCGAAAGCTGTTGCAGAATCCTTAGAACATGCCACCCTAAACCCGAAACCCTAAA